CCCTGCAGCCCCAGCCGCAGGAGAACGGGGACGTCCTCCAGTCAGGAGAGGCCGTATTGGCGGAAGAGTGACGTCTTGGCTGTCATCGGAGGGGATGTTGGTGGGAGAAGCTACGGTTGCCTATAAAAGGGCCTGCGCGCTCAGTGGAGTTCTCTTTCTGCGTTGAGTACACATGGTACAAGGGAACCTCTGCTCGTTTGAAGGGTTAAACTGTCTTGTCTGCTATTAATTTTGCGTGTCTTTAGTTTAGATTGATCTATGTTTGTAATTTCAAAATTCGTTATTTAATTAAAATTTAAATTGTTGTTTATTGTAATTGTGTTATTAATAAATAAGATTGTGATTTGTATTTTTTTTAATATTTTCTTCCTGAAGTTGCCAAAAGTATATATTACTTACTAAGAAAAAACACAAGAATGAAAGCAGCAAGTTATGTACATACTCGTATTGTCAGTTTGTTATTTTCCGTGTTTATTTATGCAATACTTAGACGTCTGTCTAATAACAAAGGTTCCTTTTTGTAAAGGATATTTTTACTCAGTTTTCTAAGAAAACGTTCACTCTAGAATATTTATTTTCATGCAAACTTTGTGCTGTTTGTAGAATTACCTGATAATTGAAATAGCGCTTGCTTCCAACGAGACAGACGAGTAAGAAAAAAGGGAATAATTAATTAGTTATATACACCGAGAAACATAATATATATTTATTTTCTTATTTGAAATGTATTTAATATCCCCTTTTCAAGAAAAGATAGTATGTTTAGTGAAGCAGTTTCTTTTGTATATTTATATAAATGTAGAGTATTCATAAATAAAACAACCATATAAATTATCCGTCATAAAAACCATTGATATATTTACAACTGTTATTATTTACATATTTACATGATCAAAGTCTATTACAGTAATATAATTGAACCGTATTTACACAGTACAGCGGTAACATAAGACAACAATAAACGAACTACTATTTAGATATGTTGGTATTACTATAAACACAACTATATGTAGCAAACATAACATGACGATGCATATGACGTACCCTCGTAAGTGTTCGACGGGTCGATTTGACTTATTTCGAACAAAACCGGGGCTCACAGAAGAGTCATCTCGTCGAACATTACCGTGGGTAAGCCGTTTTACATAATTATTTTTCTTGCTATATTTATAAAACGAAGCTGTGTTTTGGGTCCCATTGAACATATACTGGTCCTTACATAAGTCGACATTACTTTGAAACATCTTCGACTTTACTAAAACAGAATATGGTTGCAAATTCACTAAAATTAAATAAGAAGGGGCAGGTTCGTAAGTAATTAAAAAATAAGTAAATATTTGTATTAAAAAAATGTTTTATTTGGTTTGATAGACATATTGTAATTACACTCTTCTGTAAAAATAATACTAGATTAAAATGGCTTTAGCTGCTAGCCAAAAATTTTTCTATCGAAAATTGCCCTAACTGACCTTTCCGTTAATTCAATGATAAACATAGTATCTGTTGATGAAAACATCAAAGAAAACATTCACGTTAAATAATTTTGCTTTGATCTCTTCATTAGATTTGAGTACATAAATAAACTTGGCTAATAATGAAAAAGTTCAGTAATTAATATGAAACATATTAATTAAAAAGAAAAAAACACGCTTCTATTGACTGTATGTCCAATTTGATTCTGAAGTAATCTTTAAGTATAAAAAAGAATGGTAAATAAAGAATTTTTAATAAATTCAAATATCTTTTGGTTTGATGGCAAGAAACAAGCCTATACCGTATTCATTCCGCCATCATTCTGTCCTGATCTAATTGAACGCTCCTTCAACCAAAACCACTTATCTCTGCCGTCTTTCCCTTTATTTCTTTCTTACATAGTTATATTTATGTTTAATACGATTTACGTAAAGTAATGTCGACCTTATGGAATTTGCTTACACACAGTGCAAAAACATCTAAAACATTAATATTGTATACTATTACATAAATGCGTATGTATAGGTGATTTTATGCAAGATTGTTGGTTTTGATAATCGAAAATCATAGCCTAAGAGCTAGTGAAAAGCTACCTATATGTATTTGACCAGACCTGGGTTTTTGTACATTGAGGCCCCTATACCTACCATACATGAGATGGGGACCCACTAAGCCCAGAGTGGTGGACGCGGCGGGCGCTCAGGTAGGACAGGTAGTGATTTTTAGCAAATTTTAAATTCATTTGACAACGTCTGCCGTTTAAAAATTTAAAATCATATTATTATTATTATTGGAAAATGACAATGGCAGATCATTATCACGCGTTTAACATTATGGCAGACAGTTATGAAAGCACTAAAAAAAATAAAATTTTGAAAGTAGTTGACCAGATCTGCCATTGATATATTTTGTTTATTAGGGTCTTAAAAACCTATGTTCACCACGGCAGACGTTTTCATTGACTGCACACTCCAGCAGATAACAAGACTTAGCTACTACCCGGTCAGAGATGTATATGGATATCGTTCTCTGTTTTACATCAATGATTAACTTTATAAATGTTTTTATAGTATTTAATAGTAGTTTATATAATAAAATAAATACATTTTGGAAGAATCTCAAACATTGAGGTTGATTGCAGATAAGAAAAAGTAATGTATTTTTCTTTACATACAAGGTGTAAAAAGACACTCAACGAAGCCGTTAACTACGCATACTGCAGTTCTAACTAAGTAGCTTTACGCTAAAATTATCACTGGGAAACGACTTTTATTTTTAGGTATCAAAAAAAAAAAAATATTGCGCGCAATGTAAAGCAAACGGGCTTCGTGTCATTGTGTGCGTAGGTTCACAGCTTAGCATTAAAACGCTGTAATAAGTACGTAGGTTGACGTTTTACTTCGCAACAACAAAACAATTCTGTAAAATAAAAATCCTACTGACATGCACGATGTTTTTTGTGCGGGTCTGCATTTATTTATTATGTACAGTACTGTTCGTAACTTCAAATGCGTAATTTATTTAGAAAAATCGAAAATTCTGGTAATGTTTGTTTGGAAAAAAGTTTTATAGTAATACTTAGAATTCGATTGCGCAAAAAAAGTATTTAAAAATGCATCTTTGACCTTCAATATCTCGAGAACCCGTGGAATCCCAGCTATAGTCTTAGAGTAAAAAATAATCCAAATAATGGGTAGAATACGTGGCTTTCGGCTTCGTTAAGTGTCTTTTTACACCCTGTATTAATCAAGTAAATGTAAAATTAACAAAAACAAATATAGCAACATTTAATATTTTATTACATTCACAAAACACGAAGCATTTGTATGGGAGTCCACAACTATACTAAAAACATCTGACAAAGACCGTTAGAAAAGGGCGCTTAACAGAGCCCTCTCAGGTATAAACCCTGAATTCTTTGAATGCTAATTAAATAACTATAAAAGAAAATGCTGTAGGCTAGAATGAATACAATAGTAACACATCGGAAAAAAAGATAGCTACATAGACAGTCTATGCATACATCTCTAACCAGGTAGTAGCTAAGTCTTGTTATCTGCTGGAGTGTGCAGTCAATGAAAACGTCTGCCGTGGTGAACATAGGTTTTTAAGACCCTAATAAACAAAATATATCAATGGCAGATCTGGTCAACTACTTTCAAAATTTTATTTTTTTTAGTGCTTTCATAACTGTCTGCCATAATGTTAAACGCGTGATAATGATCTGCCATTGTCATTTTCCAATAATAATAATAATATGATTTTAAATTTTTAAACGGCAGACGTTGTCAAATGAATTTAAAATTTGCTAAAAATCACTACCTGTCCTACCTGAGCGCCCGCCGCGTCCACCACTCTGGGCTTAGTGGGTCCCCATCTCATGTATGGTAGGTATAGGGGCCTCAATGTACAAAAACCCAGGTCTGGTCAAATACATATAGGTAGCTTTTCACTAGCTCTTAGGCTATCATGTTTTAGCGAATGATATATTTGAATTTTTTTTAAGGAAAATAACTCAAATTGTGTAGAGGGATTTTTAATCCAATTCATAAGGCAGTACGAGTCAAATTTGAAAAAATATAAGACGCATTAATAGGCTTCCATACTGATTTTTCGAGACAAATATTTATTTATAAATATATTATGAAACTTTAATTCATTGATTAGCCAATATATAATATTTTCCACAGCTTCATTTTTAGTTTAATTATTTTAATATTCGACTTAAAACATGATGAAATCCAGTGTTGCGATGATCACACAAAATTATAAAGAAATTATCATTTTTAAGATTTCATTCAACGTATTGAATTTGATTACCCAACTACAACTTCTAGACTGCTTGAGTATATGAAAATTCCGTAATTATGTTGTCGAATTATTGAATTATCTTCCATCATATTACCAAAACAAGTAGAGATATGAGTATGTGAAACCAACAATCCCACTTCATGCTAATTGATAATTAGATTCTGACATTCAACATAGCTACGTAAACTAATTAAAAATACAATTATGTACTCCATATGCGAGATGAATTGCATTCATTTGCATAGAAATGTTTAGCTAAGTTTGTATGCAAGAAATGTAATAACATGTTCGTGGTTGTTATATAATAAAGTTTAAATTATGTGTTGCCAACTGTTACATAAATTATAAAGTTTCTTTACATTCTTTAGTCTTCTGAATAAAAACAGTAAAATCGAATTGCATCGCAATTTCTATGAGTAATTTAACAAAATTATTCGACCATTTTCTCATTCCCTTAAATTTTTAATTCATAATTTTGAAATACGAAAGTTTTCAAACGAATAATTTCTCTTAGAAATGTTTACTCTATATAACTAAAGTTTAAACATAACGTTAACGTTATTCGTATAATTTTGCTTTAATAATAAAATAACCACTTGATAGTTAGGTAATAGTATTTACTTCAACTATTTACACGAATCGTATATTGAAACTCCTACATATCAGTCTGCAGTGTAAAATATACTCTAATTACATCGAGTTTAAGATTCATGTTGCTATGTTGGTTCTTCAAGTTGAGTTTTACTTTGTATTTGTATACTGTCGAGGGCTTTTAAAGTGGTCGATGACGTCATCGCTACCAAGTCTTCATCGATGGTGGTCAACTGGGAGTACTCGGTTTTCGGGAACATAGTTCTGTGTTTGTGTTTTCTTGACCTTTTTAACTGTGGAACAAATGTTCTATTTTATATCACATACTTATTAGTCTTTGATCGAAGTCAACAAGACAAAATCAAACACACAAAATAATTAAATATGAAAAGTCAAAAGAGTCAGTCTGTAGATCTGTCCTCTGGAAAAGCTATTTGCTCGTTCCAAAGTGTACCTAGATTTCTATGGAGATGAATGAATAAGAATCCCCATGATTACTTTTTTTGTTACATAATTAAATCGGTTCCATTAGGTGAGAACAGTGTAACACTAATATAAAATCCGAAAAAGGCAATAATTTACAATCATTTAAGAATAATTATAGTAGTAGTAACGATAATAAGACGATTAAATTTCATTCATAAGTTGATTATTTTTTTATGTGAAAAAATAAGGACAGTTTTATAGACATTGTTTTTATAAAAGTGTTTTAGTAAAAAGCTATCTAATTTCATAAAAACTTTTTGGTTCATGAATTACCTAACATTTTTAATAGACAATTTAAATAATTAATCACAACTTTGTAAGCAAAAAATATTGGCTTTGTATCAAAATATCAATTTTGACACTGTCTGTAAAAATGTCTACCAGTAGGTACCACCAGCCAAAAAGCCACAAACTGTCGAACTTTTGACTAGTATGAAGTCTGAAACTTTAAAAGATATTTTTTCTAAGATAAGACAGTCAATAATGTCATGTTTAGCTGGTATCTATGTAAACTAAAAATATAACTTCAGTTTTTATAAACAGCCATTTAACTGTAAGAGCCAAGCTTCGGCCTGAATAGGCGGGCTCGACCTGAAAACTGTGCGCGAAACAACCACAGCGTTGTGTTTCGTCGTGTGAATTAGGTTGCCAAAGGCCCAATGCTTGCACCTCCCCTCCCTACCATACCCAATTCCTTAATTTCCCGAACACTGTAGACCCCAACCCAGGCACCAACGCACTTGAAACTTCTCTGATGTAGCTAGTGTCCACGAGCGGAGCCGACTGCTAGATGATAAGTAAGAAAGTTTGCCTGCCTATCTCCTAACAAAAAATCTCACTATCCCATAATAGTTCGCTTCGGTTCTAACTCATTCGCGTATTTAGTCAAATAGGAATGATCTAAGTTTTTAATACAAAGAAAATTTACCTTAACAGCAATCAAAGTGAGGACTGTAGCTAGGAGAAAGACGCCCACACCCCACACAGCAAGTGAGTTACGTTCTAGAATGTTCGAGGCGTCCTTAGAGTCTTCGATGAAAAATGACGCCGTTATGTGCGTGCGAATGTTCTCGGCTATCCGCCGCTTGCCTGCTGATGACCCGTTTAAACAACCTCCTGGAACAAAGATTTACTCACTAACAGTTCCTAGATAATCTTAGGAAAGAGTTTTTTAGTAAATATATGAAATAATTTTCGGATGATGATAAGATACGATTTCAAAGCTTGTTCCTCTAAAGGTTTGCATTTTTTTGTTCATTCATTCTAAATATTTTATTGATTTTTCTAACGATTATACTATGGGTTGCATGCCTATTGTAAGTACTTAAATAATGAAATGAATCCTATGGCACGATTTCAAAAATAAATCGTTCAATTCAAAAAATAAACCATACTTAGTTTGTCAGCCGAATTTGCAAACACACTACCAACTGAGCAATCCTAAATAGTTAATACTTATTTAAATATGCTAATTCCACAACAATACAATCAACGGAAAATCGTTAGGATTTAAAAAGTTAAAATTCAAACGATATTGTGTCTGCATTACTACATTACTGCATTGCAAATTGCAGGCAATTTTCTATATCAAATATTTTGAATTTGATCACCGCCAATTCCATAGTTACTGGGGCGTTAATTATTATGTATTGTAAAAGTTATTTATAACTAATTGCAGTTTGCTGTTATTATTATTGTTACATGAGATCTCTTTTCGATTCATCGAATACTTATTCTATACACACTTTTATACCTTACCTCTTTGTGTTTAATTATAACAGATTATCGAGCAATTAAACATTACTTTTTTTAAGACATTGCCCCACATTAGTATTTTATCCTATGCCGTGGGTGCGTTAACAAACATACAATTTCACATACACGTCATACCCAGACTCGGAACAACTATTAGTGAATCAATCAGACAAAAAGTTGTTTCGTTCGAGTAACAAATCCGCAAAACGCTACGCGGCAACCAGTTGCCCAGCTACCACGCCAAGCTTGTAGCCAAAGTAGATTTACTTAATTTTAACTCAATCTCATTTTGACACAAAAAGAAAACATTGTTACGTAATGTGATTATCGGCAACAAAGCAGAATTCGTTATGTAAGCGGAGCCACAATTAATGAATGTTCGAACAACCTAACCTTAACCATTTGTACACAAAGCTTAGAAACCTTTGAAGGGACAAAAGGTATTTGTAAGGATAACTATCAATACACCGTATATTGGAAACTAGTATAACTTCAGGGCAACGACTGAGTTTAAGGTCAACTACAAATCTAATTCTTTTGTATGAACTAAATACAGTCTTTCTTCCAAACATTTTCTTTAAGCAAATAGCTTGGAATTCTCGAAACTTATACATATTTGAAAGTGATTGGCTTATTATACATAAACTTGCCAGTCATTTTAATTTCATTAATATATATGTATATAAATATATAAATGTGTATATAAAAACTAGCTACTCTTGCGCGGTTTCACCCGCTGTTCGGCTCCATTTAATCGCAGCGTAATGTTTTATAGCCTATAGCACTCAGGCACATTGTAGCTATCCATCAGTGAAAGAATTTTGGCAATCCGACCAGCGGTTTCAAAGATTACCCCCTACATACAAACTTACAAATTTTACCTCTTTATAGTATTAGTATTAATGAGGTTTTGGCGTAGACAAACATAAATAAACTTCTTCCAATTTTATTTAGGTAACTGAGGCTAAGGTAAATTGTCTTGTTTATCACAAGACGGAACAATAATCGTTTGTGTATTAAAATGAACTCTAAGTTATTGAAAATAACGACATAATCCCGTAAATTACCGAGAAAAGCTATTAGTTATAAGTCACAGCATCATTATTAGCAATAAAGGTAGTATGTATGTATGTTCCTGTGTTTCAGGATCTTATTCTTAAAACAAGTAAACTATAATAGGTATATCTGTACCATGATAATTGTAAGGAATTATTGTTATCTTGTCTACCTTTTTATTTGCTATAGTCATTACAATTCTAACAAATCGAAATATTATGTAATTGAAAATCATCTCAATTAATATACTAAAATAAAGTTTCGATTACAAAAACTCACGCGAGAGAATTCTTAAACAAAAATTAAGGCATAGAGCTTCGTAAGTAAGATGAAGGACTCCTTCGAGATTTATAAATCACAAAAGTTGCTACCATTTACTTTTGGATATACCCCGAAGTTTATGTAAGTATTTATCTTAGATTTATCTGCCAAAACATTAGAAATGCGTAATTTGTATGTGTGAGGCAACTTGGTGAAAATCAGAACTTTGGCGATACGATTCGCCGATGAAACACAAGTATTAATATTAGGCGATATGAGTAACTATCTCAATAGGAAAGAGATCTAGTGAGACGATTTTTTAAAAAAAGGTCGGAATAATTGCATTATTTCTTTTTAAATAAATAAACATTTTTCAAAAACCGCGTGAGAATTATAATTCTCTTCATCAAACTAATAAACTCACCAATATCCTTATCACAGTGGCAGCAATCCGTCTGATTGCTATTAATGAGAAGCGACACCGTACTCTCGGTGCAGCATGGCAAACATTTGTGATTCACTCTGCGAACAATATGTGATAGATTAAATATTTATATTAACATATCAACGAAAAACTCACATGTTTATTGTTGAAATTTGATGAGAAAAGTGGTGGGTGAGAGCATGGTATGTCTTATTCAATTTCCCGGTATTTATTGATCGAACGTCCTACCCATCAAACAACTTTAACATAATTGTGGAGTGTTATTAATAAAACAATTAAATGTCATTTTGAGAGCTTCACTAAATTAAAGCCATTTACCTAAATGAAATTGCTTTGTAAGTTGTTAACTTATTCCATTATTGTACTCACCTATCTAAACGGAGGGGGTGCGCACACGTGACACAACTGGTTGGGCCCGGACCCGAGCACGACCTGCACGAGTCGTGACACGGACGACAACTCCTCGTTCTAGCCTCATAGTACTGAGAACTAAGGCACTCCACGCATAAGCCGTTTTCCAATGAAAAATGCGGTGGACATGATGTACAGCGCTGAGGGCCAGCGCCGTGGCAGTCTTGACAGTAATGGTGGCAGCGACGACAACTGTCCTGCCAAGGAAAGAAGTTCTGCGGACATTCGGGGCGACACTCTCCCGCCGCCAACCTCCAGTCAGGAGGACAAGATGCACATTGATCTCTTCTAGGGCCTGTGCACGTCTCACAGGACAAGTAACACTTGGAACACGTTCCTTCATCAGGATAGTAGCCAGGAGCACAAGTCGCTCTGCAAGTTCCTGACTGCAAACGTAAGGCACCAGCGCACAATGTGCAATTCAATCTTGACACGCAGCTCTTACAAGTATGAGGGCAGGGCGAACATCTTCCTGCAGTCTGATAGAAACCCGGCCCACACTCAGCTACACACCTAAAATCAATATTTCATGTTTAAATGAACACTCGAAACCGTACAAGAAAGGTTCAGATGGATAAAGGGCCATTACCTCGATCCTTGTAACAACAAGGGACTCGAACAAGACAAACAGTCCCACTCGTTCGACCCGCTACATTTCTCGCAGGTCGAATGGCAATTTTTACACCTTCCTCCTTCGTAATACTCATCTGTAAAAATACTTCAGTTAGTCTAAACGAGAAAATACGTGAATATTTATATTGGCTAAGGACATCACTTACTTGTGTCGCATTTATCATTGCCAACGGGTAGACAAGTTCCGCTCTTAGTCAGAATCCATTTTTCTTGGCAAACAGAACAAACGGCATACGTGCAAACAGAACAACCAATTGAACATCTAAAACAACAAAAGGTTTTCCTCTTCAATCGAGATTAAATATAAAAGCGACAATTAAATGTTCGAACAATGTGCAGTTCAAAGCAAAACGTTTGAAATTCCGAGCGTTCGTAAGATTGACGACCTCTGTTTCATCACGGAATGGAATGTAAAGATAAATTATCATAACAATAACACTTACGGCAAACATTCTCTTCTTTGGGCGTCGGCGTAATATCCTGAGGGGCATTTTGATACGCAGCAATTTCTGAATGCGTAATCACCAATGCGACACGAAACACAGGCATTTTGACTAGGACCGTGACAAGATTCACACGTTTCATGACATGGTATGCATCCAAAATCATCTTTTTGATGTGTGCCAGGAGGACAGGTGGCTAAACAAGATCCGTTGTAAAGGACATAATTGTGAGCACACGAGGAGCACATATCTGCCTTTTCAGAGCACGTATCGCAATGCTCGGCACATGGAAAGCAGGCGTTAGCATCGGGGTCTTCATAATATCCGTCCGGACACTGTTGCAAGCAAACAGCTAAATCAACCACTAACAGATGAGCGGGGGCGCATGTGAGACACGAATCCTGGCCAGCTCCTGCACACGTCTCGCATGACTCATGACACGGCCAACAAACTCCACCTTGGTTAACGAAGCTTCTCGGGGGACATCTAGACACACATGTGTTATCTAAACGATAATGCTTGCAAGCAACACACTGAGTTGGCCCCTTCCCATAACAGCCTTGTGAATCACATTCCGGATCACACAGTCTTTGGACTTGTTTATCGTTGGCATCTGCCAAAACATTTTTCCGCTGTGCGGAGGGAATATTTTTAGGGTAATTACGTCTATCAGAAATGCCAAGTTCGATTTCATTGAGGAATTGGGAGTATTCTGAGGCGTCGTAAACATCGTTAATATGATAAGCCTTTTCTTGTTGGTAAACATTGTTTGAGTTAAAATAGCTTTTATTTCGTAAACGTATTGGGCTGGTAGCCGTACCGTAAAATATTAACTGCCACTTTTTCAATATGCCCGGTTGAGTGACGTGGATATTACCGGCGTTTAATATCTGAAGGGTCCAACGCCCTTCGGCACTTTCTCCCCAAAAATGGACACTTAAAAACGGCCAATCGTCGAAGTTAGAACTCGTTGCGTCATGCGTCCTCTCGAATAAAAGGGTGGAAGTAGTCCCCATCGGCGACGTAAGCAATATCCGTAAATTTCCTCGAGGGAAAAAGCTCAGTGAAATTTTACATTGAACGTGTTCCAAAAATCTGACCTCGTTCATCGTCCCGCTGCACCCATTCACATCCATGTGCACTGATATCGTATAACCGAAAGATGTTTCAATAGACTTGTCCTCGTTTATTTCTTGCGACTTACAAATGTGCTGAGGGGGTACATTCGTCCATTGTTCGGCTAATGTTACCATCTGAGCGGCATCCATTAGCCCGTAGCCAAACTTGTGACTCACTTTTCTTTTCACGCCATTTACGATCCATCCTTCTTCTTTTTCTAGTGGCTGTGAACGAGATGTCATTACGATGAGGTGTTGCATATCCCGCCATGTTAGTAATGGATTTGCTTCTAAAGCTAATGCACAAATTCCTGCAGCTAATGGTGCCGACGCCGACGTACCTGTGTGATCTACGGTACAAATGTGATCAGGCCGTAATTGCACGTCCATATCAACAGTAGCCACACTTTTATCTCGACCTGGGGTTCCTGAACTATACGTTGAAGCTATTGTTGAAGAACACTCTTCTAAATACCACGGCTTATAGCCTCCCTGAGTTGCACTAGAAATAGAAATAGTAAATATACTATTCGCGTATCCATCACAATTGCAGGAGTCCGTGTGCCTGCCACCGTTTCCCGACGCCCATATAAAAATAGATCCTTTCCCGCCTCTTCCGTTCGTCACGCCATTTATAAAAGCCCTGAAACAAAGCACTTTTTAATGAGCTCGCCTGTAACCATTTCTCTAAACCACGTGCAATTAGACAATACCTTCTAGCCAGAGGGCCGGGGCCGTCGACTGTTTTGCCGTCGTCTTCGGGGCCCCATGACGCACTGTATATGTCTATGTGATGTGTGTTAAATCCGAGTGCTTGGGCTTCCACTGCGTCGTTAACAAGGCCGTCGAGCATCCGGACTCCGCCAATGCTGGCATTGTAAGCTATGCCGACGCCGCAATATCTATTGTAGGCGACCGCAGCCACCTCGCCCGCGCACCGGGTGCCGTGTTTATTGTCGCCATTGTCCTGCGGTGTCGGGTCCGTGTCGTTCCCATTTATGTCCGTCGATGCCGCAGGATCCTACAATATCGGGTTTTCTGTTCAATACACGTCATCTACGTAATACATGGACACTTAAGAGAAATCGTTTGTTCCAAATTAGATTTTCATTGGACAGTTCTTAGCACTTTGATTAATGGGCGTTTCATAATACTACTATTTGGGAAATATGAAATATATATTTACGTAATTCTGTGATAGATCTGGATGGTTAGGTTGAATGCCGTCATCTAGAATAGTGATAACGACTCCTTTTCCTGTATAGCCCTTCCTCCAAGCATATCCAACATTCATGTCTAAACCGTCAGCTGCACCTCCATTCTGCAATGAAAAAGGTTAATAATATCTAAAAATAGTTAACTCAGAAATGCACTCTAGTGGACGGATACTGCGCCTTGTGCATTGCATACTTAATATGTGTTGATGTTTAGGTGGAAGTGTAGCAAAGGGGAGTGTTACGTAATACTGAATAAAAACTCACCACGGAAAGAAATATTTCGTCATCTAAATATATAAAATGTTAAAAGACTTTTATACTTGGATACAAAGATACGAATAGGTTGGTGATTTTACTAAAAATAATTAAAAACTACTATACATCTTTCTTATCATATTCAGTACATTTGTAGCTCATTTTTGTGTACCTACAATGTCACGATCCTGTGTTATGTATTCGTAATTATATTTATACCGTCCTACCACCCTCTTCCTTTCCGTGACTACAATTATAGTACACTTTAATGTAATAGATACACACGTGCGTGAGCTCAAATTGTTTAACTTGTCCATAAAACGTGTAAAACCAAAATTATATAAAGCTATTCAATTAGTAAAATTGTAGACTCTAGCTACAGTATACATAGCTAGGAAAAAAAACTCAAAAGCTCTTTAACGAATAGTACTGAAAATAACAAATTCTCTGAAAGGTACCTTTGCATATAATAAGCAACATACAAAATTCTGTATTCGTATTTGATGTGTACGATTCACAAGTCGTTTCCCAGTAAAACGTGTCGGAGACGACTTATTACCAAATAAAGTGGAACAAATTCATCACACCGGTGGAAACGTTTCATACCTCCCTATATTTTATTCAACGGAATTCATTCCCACTTTAGTCAACCTCCGTACAATAAAATTGTACCCGAATAAAGCCGGCAACATTACGAGTGGCCTTATAAAACAATAGGACATCAAGGTCACAGGTAATAACCCTCGGAAAAGGAGGTATCCGCTTTATACCTCGATCTAGGGACTAAACTACTGAATTAGTAATTTCGCTACTATTCTTTGTCGGATGAGTTTTGGTACCAAGTACAAATGATAGCGTCTCGCTTTGTTCTGCTAAAGTTCGTCGACTTGGTACATTCGTACTATTAAATTATGCTTAACATCTGCCTCTGAAATGTTCTGCAATATTTTCTACTTGGACTGAATTTTAAGCAGTGCATTATTTTTAAACGTAATATTATTCATTCGATTTATTATAGCCAATAATAATAGCTACTGAGTTGAATGAATTTCGTCAAAGTCATTTTTTATTTTAAGCATCATTTGAATTTGTATAATCATGTGTCTATTTTCATTACTCTTCTTTTACGTAGGTACTTATTAGAAAAAAAAAAAAAAATATATTTTTCCATTTATTCAACATCTATAATAAAAGTCTACTTATATTACATTTTCCCTATTATGACGATAGTCTAAAACCCAGAGTGAAGTATTTTTACATAATTTTCAGTGTAACAATGAAAGCAAACGAAAATTTTGCGTTTAATGTGTCTTTTAATTGTTATGAAGGGCATGCCGGATGCTCATAAACGTACAATGGCCAGTACTTTATCAGGAGTACTGAAACATTTAAAATCTTTGTCTTTTTATATTTTATTTTATATATTATTACATTTTGAATCGTGTACTAAAACCGAATTCGAATTTAATTTCTAAGAATAAATATATGTTTCAAATAATAGGTAAGCTAATTAATTAATTTGCGAAAATGCAAACCTCCAACTAAATCGCAAATAACATGTATATCATGAGTACAATACAAACTAAAATGATTAAAATTCTCACCAAATACCACTGCTCCTTGAACAGAGGGTCGGGGAAGGCAGGCGCACTGGATTGCCTCATCACGTGCCTCGGTTTCCACTGATGGTCCCTCTTGGACCTCCGTAACTCCCTCTGCTGCATAACCCATCTCACCTGTCAAATGATCTGTCTTTAATCCTCTTTCTTAAGGCAAGAAGCGTTGAGCAAGAGTGCTCAGAATTTAAAAGAGCCGAAAAAAATCGGCACCCACTCGGATAACATTTTTGTTGTTTTCAATTTTTACGCTACGAAGTGGTTTGGGATTGAAAAAAAAATTATCAGCAAAAATAGAACTTATGAACGTAGAAAATCAATAGCCAAAAATAGCCAAGATAGCTAAAGTGCGTGTTCAAATTGATTCTCAATTCATGTATGTTATAGTGTTTTAATCCTCAATTACCTATATGGCAATTATGTATTTGTCAATATGACAAATAACAATTACTCAAACGTACAAGTAAATTATTTAAACAGAAACATTAACTGGAACTATTTAAATTCAAATTCACAGTATCAAAGTTGTGTTCCCTACAGAATTTCAAACCATTAATGTTCGATCGTTAGCTATATGTATTAAATGTGAAGCGTCACGTTTCGGTCATAAACAAGGCCATATTAACACCAACTAGTCTAGAACTATTGTGCTTACACACAATGATAATACCTGTAATGTCTAAACTTGGGTTATTGGTGGTACCAAGTTATTTAGTTTGGGAGGTCAAGTAGTTTCTGCATGCTTAAACAATGCTATAGTGTACATTTTATAACATCCTCTATACATTTTGTGGGTGATAATGAAAATTTTATACATTATAATATATGCATCTCTCTTATAATCATGAATAAAGATCTTTACAAAATCGTATAAAAAACTCGTAAAGTAAAGTATTCAACCAGTCCATTACCCAAAGTTTGTAAGTGGTTCTGCACTGTTAGTTGAGTACATTAAACTGTCGATCAAACTCGTACCTTATCTTAACTAACCACCAAAATCACTCAGGCAAATCGATCTTTTCACCGGACCTCTATTTTGGACAAGCAGTCGACAGGAAAACTTCATGGATGGGTAGATTCTATTCAAATTGGAAGATTAACTAACTGGCCAATCCCTTGAGACAGAATCCTTACGTCAATACGGCATGGAATCAATTATTCAAAATGGAGCCAAGTCATGATATTGAAGCCGATAACTTTAAGGATAATCCCAATGAATAATTCGATGGTGGACCGATGTCAATCAAATTAACGTGTATTGATTGGGTTCGTAAATAAACATCTACGGTACGTTTGTACGAGTAGCTTCAAATTTATTTGAAGACAATTCTGTTGCTATGTGGGTTAGTCTACCGTATCTTACTAGTTATTTATATTATGTTTAGGATTTTAGTACTCAGTGGTATTGAATGTTTTCATACATTAGCTTTTTCTGAGCAAGAAATTCAACAAATGATTTAGTTGAAACGAAAGGGAATGTAAGACTCCTAATGATTAAAAACATCCCGTTCCGTAACGCTCACATCCACAACCCTGGTTTTTTTTTATGTAATAGCTCGGCAAACGAGCAGATGGATTACCTGATGGTAAGCAATCAGCGCCGCGAAAAAAAATTCAAAAATAAGCTTTTATTTGGGTGCTTAATAAGTTCCAGGACTAAGCACATCAGAGATGTTTTATGAATTAAAAGTCATACAGCATCGCATTTATAGACATGCAAAATGCAAAAAATCCTTCAAAATATTGTTGCAAGTTTTTATTTTATATACGTACATATATACTTACATTAATTATGTACCTACATACATGCTAATTAAATAAAACCTTATAATAAAATATCTTAAGGTAGCAGTTGATAATTTTCTTTGATATTATGGTACTAGTAAATAATTACATATAATTAAATATCACATCCGTCTCAAAACAAAATTAGCTTGAAGTTTCCACGCCCTCTTAATATATCCTTATTTAATATACTTTGTGATTAAAATACGATGTTATGAAAAACAGTGTTAATATGATATAAGATTTATATAACCTACTTCATTACTAAATTTCGTGTAGTTAAGTAACGGTACCATATAAAATTTTATCGTGATTTTGTTATCAAACTGTAGCAAACTTTTTGAAGAGCTTAAATTACCTAAATAAATTAAACGAACAAATATCAGTCTTCATTAATCTCTAAATCTCGAAAATCCTAATTCCCAAACCACCGGAAACGCACTCGTTACTCCTCTGGCGCTGCAAGTGTCTTTAGGCCGATTGCTTACCATCAGGGAATCTGTCTGCTCGTTTGCCATCTTCTCACACAAAAAAGTGTAATCCAAGTGACAGTTTGTTAGTTAGTAAGTTTATAATTTTAGATATAAACCTTACGAATATTCTTCACTTTGTTTAATTGTCTATTGAATCTACAAAGATGGTAACTATTATCACACGTAATTATGTGGTTTTAGTGGAGTCAGACACATCTTTATAATCATTGGTTGATTAAGAATGTAAATAATGCCAGTTGCTTTTGTATTGAAACTTTATTTTATTTTTTTACCTTTGTATCAAATAAAAAGCTGTGCATATAACAGTAAATGGGTGACTATGAAATTAATTAAATATTCTAAACCTCATAGTCCGATATAGATGGCCAAGACTTTTTAGATTAAGATTCTTAATAATTATAAAATGCTTACCTGTGGGTCATTTTTAAGATTATTGTAATGGTCGATGCTGGCATTTGGTGATCTTTTACTGACGTGTGGATGTGATAACAAAAAGTAGTGCTTCAGGTTTCCAATCTGCAAAGAAAAAAATACAGATGAATCACAAAAAACTAATCAACGCGTCGTAATATTTTATTTTTGGAAAAAAAAGGAAAATGATTCAGCCATTTTAAAAGTTACATTTATTAGGTTTTATACTTTACTTAACTAACAAATATCATGTTTTAAAAAAATCAAGTCGTTTCGTACATGCAAAGATAAAATGTAATCTAATAGAATGGACAGCCGACGTATAAAGCCGCAGTCGTAGCAGCAATGAGACTACGCACCTACGGCGTAGCTCGTAGATATTTTCTAGACATTTTATGTTTGATCAGTTGCTTTCATTTTAGCCAACAATTCAATAATTTTCTTGAGAAAACTTATAGTTAACTTAAGTAAGCTTATAGTAATAAGTAATCAATATAAAAAATGCAAGGACTTAAATAAACTTTATTCAGTAACAGTAATACTTATTGCTTAATAGGTATGCATATATGTATATGTATCATATAATTATATCTAGTTAATTAACATAGACTATAAGGTCTGCTAATATTCGATCAAGTAATCTAATTGATTTGCAATAATACAAACTAACACACTAATCACAATGCGAAGTACCATAATCTGTCGATAATTTATTAATTAATCAAACTTGAATTGCTAGTGGCATTTGATGCCACTACTTGGCATACAATATGATATTTTATTTGTGATTTGTTTTTGTGACGCATGTATATAACGCATATGTATAATGCTGAACGAGGGCCATTTTGCGTGCTTGTGACGCACAATTTTACTTATATTACTCTTTTTTTTATATTGTATTACCATGTTTTTTTTGTTTTTGTGTTTAAACACTTGTTTGTTCTGTGTCTTATGTGCGTCCTAGACGCGAATAAATACTTTTTCTTTCTTTCTATATATTTATGACTTCTATTACAGTTTCATCAAAAGGTAGACTACCTTTAGAAGGTACCTTTAAAAGGAAGAGATCACCTTGTGCGATAAGACCGCCCATTGTACGCGCATTTTTGTAAGATATTCTATGTAACTATGTGGTGTTCATTAAAGTATATATTAATTACATTCACATTATCAGCCTTAAATATGTCTATGTACCCACTACTGAATAGTGTTGCCCAAATTCAGTCTTGGTCTTGCAGTCTTGGTCTTGTTCTTGCGTTTTTGCAAGACCAAGACCAAGAACAAGACCGAGTATTTTTACCAAGACCAAGACCAAGACTGACCGTGCAAGACTTGAGCAAGAACAAGACATAGCCTGCAAGACTCTTGCGTCTTGCAGCTATTCTATGAGACGCAAAAAACTGTATCAAAGAATATGAAAAAGTGGACCTATACGCATTACGACTAATACCATAAACATAGCGAAAAAAATATCTATTAAAATCAAACTGAGTGCATGCATAGTTATGTTTTAACCATCGGCACTTTGATAATGCGGCATCAAAGGTTTTGTACTTACTTGTCAAAGAAATTTGCCGCGTTTCGGAAGTACATGGTTATGATACACGCGCCGGCGGCTTCTTTTGAAATCTAAATAAAACAATCGTTGCCACTATGCCACGCCGAAATCATAACATTTGACACTATTTGATTGCCGCCATAGGGCGTAGGTATACTCATGCAAAAAAATTTCGAATTTTAAGAGTACCTACCTACAGGTGTTCCAAAGAATAAATAAGTTTCAGAGTGTTTAGAATGAAAATGAATACATTATACTGATCACGCAAGTAGTATTATGATTAGAATAAAATGGTAAGGATAGGTAGTAGATGTCATATTAATTCATTCTAGTAAGTGTATATTATAATATTGATTACTTATATGGTTTTAAACTAATTACTTAGGTACTATTATTGTACATTTAGTCATTATATTTCTTAAGTTTTTACAAGATAAAATAGCAAAAAAGTGTTCAAATATCACCCGTTTAATAAATATTGTAGCCACTTTTAAATATACTTGAAACTCCTGAGAGGTTATTTTCTAAAGCATCATTAGTAATTAGAAAACATAGAAATAGGTTAAGTGATGAGTCAGCCAGATGTTTACTTTGTATTAATTCTTGGTAAAAAAATTGATATAAAGTATCATAACCTAATGATAAAGCTGTTGATTTGTGTTGTATTTTATTTATTATTCAACTAAATGATAAATCGTAAAACTCTTTTATTCTTATAAGTTGAGGGTTTAATCTCTTTCTAGACGGATAAGTATTGTTCTTTAAAATACAGTGAAGTTATTGTAATTAATTTGTTTTTTACATGTTTTAGCAAATGTAAGCTTATAAAGCATAAATGTTTATTAAGAAACAGTTACTTCCATGGGA